CTTGAGCCCAGGAGTTTGAGGTTGCTGTGAGCTAGGCTGACGTCACGGCACTCACTGTAGCCCGGGCAAAAAAAGTGAGACTCTGTCTCAAAAAAAAAAAAATTAGGGCTCAGTAATACATTCTCAGAGCTAATTTTTTAGGCTTAGACTTCAGAATAAACCCTCTAAGGAGGGTTAGCCATCTTGCAAGGGTTCGGTGGGATCTTTAACATGTTTCAAAGACTGGCAGGTAACTAACTACTTACTCTAGGTCTGGAAAGGGCAGCCACCAAGCTCAGGAAGGGACACAGACTCTCCCATGGCAGGGCAGCGGACCAGCGATGCTCTCAGACTCTCAGTGATGATTTCTACACCCAGAATGGGAAGCTCGGTCAACAGTTTTTCTTTTTGTCACATCATTCTTATTCATGGTGATATTTTTACTTACAAAATGAATTCAACAAAAGTTTGAGGAGGTTTTCTGTACCATTTAAAATGTGTTTCTATAGCACTGGGGAGTGCGTATAAGGAGGACGTCTCCTATTTCTCATTAATTTGCTCTGTTGCTTTAGACAAGTTTCTTAAATCCTCCCTAATAGTATTGTTATCTTTAATACTATTTTCTACCCAATCAGGTTAAAAGGAAATATTTTGACCCAGTATAAGCAAAGTCAAAGGGATGGATTATGGCCGTATAAAATCTGTATAATTGAAAGAATCAATATTTTTACTGGGCACAGTCAACTCCTGAGGTCAATATTGCTCTAGGGTTCACGCACTGAGTCTGTGTGGTTTTTGTCACCCCTCAGCCCTACATCTGGCCTGCGCGGGTCAGCACGTGGCCTGTGCCGAGTTTCTCCTGCAGTCAGGCCTGAAGGATTCCGAAGACTTGACGGGCAGCCTGGCTCTGCAGCTCATAAGGGGAGCACCTCTGGCCACAACATGATAACGTGGACGTTTCTGAAAGGAGGCAGTAAAGGGCATGGTAATTTACATCTCACTTCTCAAATCACACACAGATTCAGTAAAACCGTTCGGTAGCCACTTTTCCTTCTACTCCTGCTCCCACCTGCCTCCTCTTGCACACCCCAACCCTGCTGAGGGTTCCTGGTGCTCAGGAAGCCGGGTTCCTCGCCCCCGACTGGCACACTGTGGAGTCCTGAGCACGGTCATTATTTTCCCATTGTCCATATTTCATTTTTTCTACCCTTAAAGTGGAATTAGATGCTTATGAGATCAGTCTCTGCAATCCTTAGATTAGATGCATGAATATAATATAGTCTATATACTTTTATAAATTTATGAAATGTCTTATAATACTGTGTGGTAAGACAATGATAATATTAAAAATGTAACATAAATTGCTATTAGTTTGAGCCATAAAACATAATTGGCCTGTTTATTTTCCTCCTTCATAGGCTTCCACTTGGCCATTATAATGGACGAACTTTTGGTTTCATAGCCAGAAGGAAATGCTTATAATCTGTTTACACATTTACAGGGAATCAATGAAAACTTGTGTATATTCTAAGCATTGCTAGTTAAGCTATAAAGTTTTAATCTTGAGGGTTTTTGTTTGTTTTAGTAGATAAGTTCTGTATTGGCCCCCTTTCATTCTTACCTAGAAAATGTAACTAAGATATTTCCAAAACTTTTCTATCAACGTGAGTTGCAGAATGGGGTTTTTGTTCTTAAAACCAACAGGGTACATTTTGTGCCCTGTCCCATTCACCCACCACAGCCTCTGACTGTGAAGGAATAAAGCACTCAACATTACAACTTTAAAAAATATTGTAGCCTCTTAAACAGATCAATGATAGGATGAGTCCTCAGGCATTTTGACTTTTTTTTCTGGCTTTTTTCATTTTCTTTCTTTTTTGATGATTTTCTCTGAATTGCTAAGAGTAATTATTAACCCAAATCTGTCTTTTGAAAAATGGTATGCATCAATCACAAGCAAGATTTAATCCCCTTGTTCATCGAGACCCGGCAGGTACTTACTACACACCCACCTTATTCTCAGTGTTGTGCTCAGCCTGATAAGGAGCAAGAATTTCCAGTTCCTCTTAATTATTCCCAGACGCTGGCAGATTCCTATCCCTAACCACCAAATAAATGTTCTGGTAGAAACACCATCACACACACTCTCTATCTGCACTGATTTGAAATGCGATTACCATTTTCCTATTGCTTCAGAGATACCTTTGCATCGATGCCCTTGGATCTAAAGATGATCCTGTCGTGTGGATATTTCATACGAGCCGCCGGGGCCTTCTCCCCACTCAGCAAACACATAGAGCAGCTGTTTATTTGTAGCCAGTACATGGGCAGTCAGTTCCCATTCATAGCTTTGCTTCTGCCCTTGCAAACCAGACAATGATTATGGCACATCCAGTTAGGCTTTTGTTCCCAGGAGTTCTAGATTCTGTACACCTTTTGAACGTAAATCTTGGCTACTAGATGGAGCTGCTGAAACTACTACTGAACATTCAGAGTTGGCAATGATTATAATAACATTAACTGTGACAGAATAGCAATAATATAACAGTATATTTCTGGAGCAATGATGAGTGTTAATGGAACTGATGTAACAATATTTTTCCATCATTCCTAATTATAGTTACTTTGCTCACTTCCTTTGGGTCTTTATCTAAAAGTCACCTTCTTGATGAGGCCTGCCCAGGCCTCCCTATCTAAAATTGCATTCTTACCTTCAACATTTGATATCTTCTCTCCCTAGTTTATCATTTTCTCCTTAGCATTTACCACTCGCAGCTATACTGTACAGTTTGAGTTATTTATCTTGTTCATTGTCTTTCTCCCCAACTGCTATGCAAACTCCTTGGGCAGGAATTTTTGTCTCCTTTGTTTACGTACTATATCTGCAGGACCTAGAACAATCCCTGGCACATGGTAAGTTTTAAAATGATTATCCGGTGAATGAATGGATGTCAGTAACAATTTATGATCCTTGAACACTCACTATATGCTAGACACCGTGCTAAGCACCTTACCTAGATTGTCTCATTTTGTCCTCTGACCCTTACACTCTGCAGTCCTTCTAGTTATTACTCCATTTCTCTCATACACTCCTTCCAAGAAGAATCTGCTTGATACCCTCAGCTCGTAGGTACCGCTCCCTGCCTGCAGCCTGGCTTCTCGCTGCCACTCTGTGCGGAGTATTCAGTCAGGTTGCCAGTGGCTTCCTAATTGCCAGATCAAGCAGTATGTACAGCCATCATGTTACTGATCCTTTCAGTTCACTTATCGATCACTCCCACCTTCTTCTGGACTCTTGCCCCCTGTGCCCACACGTGTATGGGTTTTTCTTTCTGACTTTTCCTCCAGTCTGTCCTTCATGTGCTCCTCTGCTGGAACCTGCCCCAGCTTCTGTCTCCAGCTCACTCTTCCTTACTCTGTGTTTGCTTCTGAAGCATTCTCATCCGTCCTCTGGTTTCACCTACACCCTAACGTCAGCACTGCTCAGATCTCTCTCTACTCCTTGTTTTCCACTGCCTGCTGTCCATTTTTGCATGGGTGTCCCCCGGCTGTCTCACACTCGGCTTATGGAGAACCCAGCCTTCCCCATAGCCCACTTACACACAGGCTTGTGTTCCTGCCTTGGTTGTGGCACCACAGTTCACCTGCCACCAAGCTGGAAACTCGGGGGTCACTGGTGACAGCTCCCTCCATGGGAAGCCCTGTGGAGGCAGCTCTGTAATCTGTCTGTTCCAGTCTGTCCCTGCTGTGACTCCCTGCTCAGGCTCTCACATGCTCACCGCCCCCCACGACAGCAGCAACCTCCTGATTATTCACGTCCCTCAAATCCAGTCCCCTCAAATCAGCTGCCAGAGAGGTCTCGCCAGCTTGACCGAGGGTGTTAACTGCCCACAGAGGCTCAGCGTGCCTCCCTCCCAGAGCACATGCTACGCTTTCAACAGGGTTTTGGATGTCTCAGCCAAGACCCACCTCCACAGAGCTGTCAGCTGATCCCAAAAGTGCACCTGCTCCGGGGCGAGTGTGTGTGATTAGCTCAATCAGGGCAGAAGTCATTGGAAAGAGATGCAAATAGGTAAAAATTGCAATCACTTGAAAATAGCTAGGATCTATCATATATTACAAAAAACATATACAAGAAATTATTTACAAAACAAATGGGAAAAAGAATTACAAGATGAAACAGAAATGGCAAAACTCAGGCCAAAGAAATGAGAACGTTGCAGCAGGGGCGCAGATGGAAAAGGAAGGGCAGGCGCTGAATTAACTTAAGCTGGGGCGTTGCTGGAACTTACCAGCAGATGGCAGACCAGAGAAATGTCCCTTTGATTCTCCCGGATTTGTTTTTAAGGCTTATTGTAAAATGTAGAAAATATAGAAAGTAATAAAAGAGAAAACAAAAATAACCTATAGTTCTACCACCCAGATAGAACTACTCTTATTTCCTTCTAGTCTTTTTAAGTGCATGTAGTTGAAATGATGCTGTATATGCAATTTTTTCCCTAACTTTATATTACAAGCAAATCCTAATGCTCTTAAAAACTTT